GCCGCGCGCGCTGTCTTGTTGCCCGCCTCTTGTTTTATCTTTAAAAGAAAAAAAAATATTGGTGGCTACGTGACCGAGGAGGACGACCGGGCCGCGTGCGCGGCGGGCCGAGGCGGTCCGGGGCGCGCCCGGGCGGCCACCCCCGCGAAACCTCCCACGCCGCGCCACGCCGCGCCACGCCACGCCACCATCAGCGCCCAGACCACGTCCCGATCCGGCCCGGCCAGGCACAGCCAGGCGCAGCCAGCCCACCATTTCGCATGAGTTTGTCTCCCAGTTCAACTTGCTCCAACCGCTGACTTTGCTGTGTGGCCGGCGGCCCTGACGCGCGTGAGCGGAAAGGGGGGCAGGGGGAATTAGGAGAAGAATGCGAACCTAGCGCACCCCTGGCGGGTCACAGTGGGCCAGAAGACCGGTGGAGGCGGCCAAAACTCTAGACGCGTTTTGAGCTCCAGAGTCGCTAAATGGGACTCGAGCCAAACGTGTGACCCCACCAATGGATTCCTCGTTCGAAGAGCAATCCATTGGTGGGGTCACACGTTCGGCTCGAGTCCCGTTTAGCGACTCTGGAGCTCAAAACGTGTCTAGAGTTTTGGCTGCCTCCACACCGGTCGTCTGGCCCACTGTGCGGAAGGGGGGCGACAGAGAAAGGAAGAGAAAGTAGCGCGAGAGGGACAAGGGGGACGGAGAGGAAAGAAGGAGAAAGGAGAACGGAAAGGCAGAAGAGGCGAGGGAGAAAGGAAATGAGAAACCATCGGGCAACCCTGCGAAGCGCGTGCCTGGCCTGGGCTTGGCCCAACCCAAGGCAGCAGGGGGGGGGGGGACAGGTATGACAATGTATTCGGAACGTAACCATCAATTGCCAGCGCGTCCTCCCTCCCCGGCCCCGCCCCGCCCCGCCCCGAATCGCAACAAGAAGCGGATTGAGGGAGCCGAAAGAAAAGCATCAGCATAATGGGCCTTTGACCGTGACGGATTGCCTCTCCTCCATCTTCTCCTCCTTCTCCACCTTCTTCTTCTTCTTCTTCTTCTTCTTCTTCCTTCTTCTTCTTCTTCTTCTTCTTCTCGTCCTCCTTCGTCCCGCGCGGCCCTCGGAAGGTCAGGGTGACCCAAGGAACGCGACATGATAATTAATTTACCATTATGAATTACGGCCCTGCAACAAAACAAGGAGGGGAAAAAAAAAAAAAAAAAGAAAATTAGCGAGACGGGGAGATAAAAAAAATGGGAGAAATTAACAAACACAGGTCGTCGGAATATGAAATCAGCGCGCAATTAAAGGACGCGTTTTTGTTTGCACTGCAAGATTGGAAAGTGGATTAAGGCCGAAGGCCTAGGTCGTGCTGCACAGACCGCGGCAGCACAGTGGGCCAGAGGGCCGGTGGAGGCGGTCGAAACCCCGGACGCGTTTTGAGCTCCACATAGTCGCTAAATGGGACTGGAACCGAACGTGTGGCCCCACCAATGGATTGCTCTCCGAACGAGGAATCCATTGGTGGGGTCACACGCTCGGTTCGAGTCCTGTTAAGCGACTCTGGGGCTGAAAACGCGTCTAGAGTTTCGGCCGCCTGCGCCGGTCTTCTGGCCCACTGTGGGAAGGTCCTGGACCTCGGCAGGGCAGGCCCTGGTCCTTCAGCTTCATCTGAGATCCCCGAGACAGACCGCGCCATTCGCGCACATGACGGCGCCGTGCGAGTCATTCTGCGTCATTCTAAGCCATTCTGGCCCACCGGCCCGGCCTTGAGCCCGGCCGCCCGAATGCCTTTCCGTGCCGTCGGACTCGGCTTGGCCAGACTCGGCGGCCCTTTCTCGCCTCGCCTCTCAAAAGTGGCGCGAAATTGCTGCAAAATATGGCAAGGCGCACCTTGGAAGGCATGAAGTGAGAAGTAGGGGTGATGAAAAATTCAACTGCGCGTCGCTCTGTGAGGTGGGCGAGGTGGGCTGGCTGGGTTGATGGGGAAGAGGGGTGTAGACCTCGCGGAGGAGCCTGGGGAGACTCAATCCATGTGTGAGTGTGTGTGTGTGAGAGTGTGTGCGCGTGTGTGTGCGTGCGTGTTGTGGACCAGCCCCCAGGGCCCCGTTCGCTTTTTCCCTGCCCTGCTCTGTGCGTGACCCATCCTCCTGAAACCAAATCTTCCCCTCACACACACACACACACACGCACGCACTCACTCACACAAACGCCGCCGCCAAAACCACCACATGCCTGATCCCTCCTCGGCGCCCCTTTTTGTAGCTCTCATTCTCGTCTGGCGTCGGACCGCGCGGGACCGCGAGCACGGAGCGAGACCGCGAGAGCGTGAGGCCTCCTTCATGGTGTCCTTAAACGGATCGGCCGTCTGGCCTGGCGGTCTCCGCGAACCGGAAGAGACGAACAGACTCTGTTGTCAGAAACATCCTTCATTAGAAAAAGGTTTAGATGTAATTATGTTAACTTTTTTAATTTTAGAAACATAATAAAAAATATAAATGAACTCAAAATGACAAATTTTTTAATCTTCGGACAAGCCAGTCAGAAGACCGGTGAAGACAGCCAAAATCTATAGAGTCGCAAAATCAGAGTCGCTTAACAGGACTCGAACCGAGCGTGTGACCCCATCAATGGATTGCTCTCCGAACGAGGACTCCATTGGTGGGGTCACACGTTCGGTTCGAGTCCCATTTAACGACTCTGGGGCTCAAAACGCGTCTTGAGTTTCGGCCGCCCCCACCGGTCCTCTGGCCCACTGTGCGGCCTCCAGGCCGTCGTCTGGGTCAGCCTCCAGGCTCCAGGCGGCGCGGGCGGCGCACAAAACGAACGAACGACGTCGGCGGGCTGAAAAGGCTGGAAAGGGGGATATGGTACTATTTTTTTGAAGGAGACACCGGAACAGCGCGGAGGGGTGGGGGCGGCGGGGGCGGCGATAGGGAAATGGGGCAAAGGAAAGGAAGGGGCTGCGCTTGCGGCCTGGCGGCGCGGACTCCAAGGCCCGGCGCGCCGGGCGGATGGCGCGAAAAGAAGGCCGATCGGGGCAGATAGCATCACAAAGGGAGCGCGCCGGACACTGACAAATAAGTCGTCTGGACCGCCCGCGGCACGCCTCGGCACGCCGCCGTGTGGTCACCCTAGCCCACCACGCGCTCTATGGTGGCCAGGGTGCATGACTCACCACGCCAGCGGTGCATCGGTCCAGAGCGCCCCAGCGCTACCACCCCTCGGGCCGAGCAAGATAGAGAGGGAGGGAGCGAAAATTGGCTTGTTTCGGTTTAAATCGCCCCCGTTTGCCCTCATTAGACGGGCCGGGGCAGCCCGCCCACCCCGGCGGGCCACGCCGGGCCGCGCCAGGCCGGCCCCAAATGTGTTGGGCACTGCTATTGTTGACGGCAATTCCGACTCCGGGCCGGTATTGCTGTATTGCGCCCCGCGGGCTGGTCTAGGGAGGGCCGGGGGCGGCCTGGGGCAGCCTGTGGGAAGACGAGGTATGGAGGCACAAAGGGCAGGGCGTGGCGGAGGCCGGCCGGAGCGTGGGTATGACTGGCCGCCTGCCGCCCCGAGCCCTGTCCGTCCCGTCGGACTCCGAGTCGGACTCACGGACTCCGCAGCGGCGGCGTGGCCCTGCCTGGCCTGCCTGGCGGGTGCAGTTCTGCCGGCCTCTTGGCTCTTGGCCGCAGGGAGCGGACAACTAAACCAAGCGGCCACCCCCACCCCGCCCCCTGTGGCTGCCAGGCACTGCGGGGCACTGCGAGGCTCCGAGCCCTGGCCGGTAAGCAAGCGGCCCATCGGCTCCAGTCCCCTAATATTGCTGCGGCCGCCCCCGCGCCGCCCCCCTGGCCGGCACTGCCTCGGAACGTTCTTTGATCAGGGAGGGCGAGGTTCAACGGCAAGGGAGGGGGGATTCTGGATCACAGAGCATCCAGGATGACGGTTCGGGACGCATCCACGACGGCGATACCTCCGCAAATTTTTCCTCGTCCCCCGAAAAGGGGGGAAAATAATTTGAGTGCCGTGAAATGAGTGCTGCCTGCGGACCTGCGGTCTGCACCAAGGTCCGCACTGCCTGCCTCGGAGACACTGGCAAGACCGGGGCCCTCTCCGTCCCTTCCGCGCTGCGCTGGCCAAGCCGCTTCCCCATCCTTGGAGATAATCCGCTGATCCCCCAAAGCCAGACCAAGCCCGCCAAGATACCTCATTAATTAAGGATGCAAAGTGGTGGTCGCGGACTGGGCCGGAGCAGCCCCCCCCCTCCCTCTTGGCCGAAGGCGACCGAAGGGGATGCCGGCGTGGCTCGGCTCCTCCGCGCTGGGCAAGGGTTCGGTCTTCGGTCCGCCAACGCGTTGGGTTCCCTGGTTCCCGGAGGGGGTCGCCCAGGATTTACCACCCAGTGAGGGTAATCCCAGTGGCTATGCTTATTGCAGAAAACGGACCGACCGTGGCGCGGCAGGGCGCAGCCACAGCCCGGACTCACACCTCCCAATCCCCTTTCCGCACTCCGCACCGCACCGCGTGCGTGGACCGTGCGGTACTCGTCCGGAGCCCGCAGCACAGTGGGCCAGAAGACCGGCGCAGGCGGCCAAAACTCCAGACGCGTTTTGAGCTCCAGAGTCGCGAAACAGGACTCGAACCGAGCGTGTGATCCCACCAATGGATTCCTCGTTCGGAGAGCAATCCATTGGTGGGGTCACACGTTAGGTTCGAGCTCCATTTAGCGACTCTGGAGCTCAAAACGCGTCTCGAGTTTTGGCCGCCTGCGTCGGTCTTCTGGCCCACTGTGCGCAGAGCTGCGTGTGGTGTTACCTCCTAAATGAAATTTAAAATTCAGTTGCTCACCTGAGCTGTGGAACCCTTACCGTAAAAGCCCTAGACTATACATCTAGCATTATTCTCCCGCTCAGAACATAACAATATTAAAATAAATAATTTGTACAACCGGTTTTATGTTCTTTTTGTTCAACTTGAATGAGTTTAAGGAGGTTTAAATATAGGGGATGGATGGAAGCTGATTACGTAACCAGGCAAGATCTCAAGATTTCATACGAAACAATTTAATTCTAAAACTAAATTAACCTACACAAATATTCATCCAGTTTCATTTTAAGCATACAAAATCAAGGCTTAATGCTAATGGTTTGCTTCACCTGCTTCAAGTTGATTCTTGTTCTTAAGCGTCATGGTTTGAATCAAATACTTCAGTTTTAAAGAAATAGTCAGTCACATCAAAATCTTCTGAAAAGTCGCCATCTTCGCTTTTTCTTATGACCAAAGTGATGCCCCACAAACTTTGCCGCTGTTTACTAGCCAATAAACCAAGGTATGTTAAAATGATATCTGGAACATAGTAAAAAGAATTAAGCGATGAAGATTCTGTCCCGACCCCAGTGTCAAACAAATTATTCTTACCGCATCTTTCAGCAGTAAAGACCCATGGAGTAAAGAAACGTGTCTCTGATTGAAAGAACAAATGTTTAGAAGTTCCTTTGAAAATTAAGTTATCAGTTTCGGACTCTGATGTTGCTATTGAGCGAGCTTTCTCCAATGCTTCAGGGCTGAGTTTTTCCTTTAAAACTTCAAATTCATTCTTAGCCACGCATTCAGAGACAAACATTAAAACCTAAAGAATGACAATTTGCCAATTAATAAACAGAATCAGCAGAGCTTTAATACAAAATAGAGCTCACATCCCTTAATGTCAACAAAACCTTTATAATCTAAACAAATACTGATAGCTCAAATTAACTTCAAACAGTTACCTTCTCTGCTGTAGCGTTAGTGGTAAGGACATTTTCCACGTCTAGACGATTTCCTTCAGCCCACGTCAATTGTTTGAATTGCCTCTGGGCCAAGTCCATAGTGAACATGGCAGGCGCTTCTATAGGCAGCTTTGGGAAACAATCCCTCATATTATGTTCATTGCTGCTGGAGGCGAAAAAGCGTCTCTGATTTGGCACACTTAAACATCGGTTATATCTGTGAGTTTGAGATGGCAGCGATGGAACGAACGCCTTTCGGCAGCGACACACAAACGCAATGACAGAGGGGCTTCTGTTCATCTTGACTAATCTTCAAAACAGGGCAGGGCAATTCCTGAGACGTCAAACGTCCATACGGACCACTGTAAACATAACCTTTGCTCTGAATGTTGACGGTCATTTCATCGTAGACATCAATTTCTCATAACTTTCCAGCTACATCTTATCCAACGCCGAAAAATAATCCGTTCTGACTTTGACTAATAAATTTATTTAGTCATGAGAAGTTTAAGCGTCACAATAATTTAATTTACTTTTTAAAATATTTTTAAGCTATAGTGGTGATTTGCATGCCACTTGGAATGCAAATAAACGGAACTATCGTGCGGTGGAAGTTTGAAAGGCAATGTTGGCGTAGTCGACCCGAAGTATGAGAAACTTAATCTTACGCAGAGATCTGTCATGCAATTTTAGCGGTTCGTTTGAAAGGCCGGTGGTGTGGTCCTCAAGGAGGTTGTGGCTGGATCATTATTTTAAGTCCACAGCAGCTGTTCCAACGTGAAAGGCAAGTCTTACTGCGCTAGAAAGATGAACATGCCGGCCTGTGAAGTGACTGGCACCCGAGTGTCACTCAAGACTACCTGACGCCAACCTTCTTTCTCCCACCTCCGTCGCGTGGATAACGGCCGAAAGGGGAAGCGCTCCGAAAAGCTAAGGAGGGGGAATTACGGCAGAGAAAACGAGAGCGAGCTGCAAATGGGGGTGAAAGAGGGGGGGGGAGAAGGCCCGTTGCAGCTGATGATGTGCTGCCATTCCCCTAAAGACCTTCCTCTTTAATTGCATTCTTGAGGAATTGCGATGTGGGAAGGGGCGTGGGGAGGAAGACGACGTCGCCGGGCGGGGCGGGGCGCTGCGGTGCCCACCCCTTCTGCGTCGATAATCTGTTCCTCGATACGCTGATGCCGCCATAACTGTCAAGGCCGATTAATGCATTATTACTGCGACACCGCCTTCTTTGCGGCCTCGGCGTCCTTGTTCACAGCCTCGGCCATCTCGGCGGCCTCGCACAGTGGGCCAGAAGCCCGTTGCAGGCGGCCGAAATTCTAGACGCGTTTTGAGCTCCAGAGTCGCTAAATGGGACTCGAACCGAACGTGTGACCCCACCAATGGATTGCTCTCCGAACGGGGAATCCATTGGTGGGGTCACACGTTCGGTTCGAGTCCCATTTCGCGACTCTGGAACTCAAAACGCGTTCGGGATGTTGACCGCCTTGCGCCGGTCTTCTGGCCCACTGTACGCCCTTGTCAAGACCTCGGCCTCCACAGCGGCCTCTGCAGACAGGCTGCCTGGGTGGCCTCGGCCAGCCTCGACCAGCCTCGACTCGGACTGGCTAGGAAGTCCCGGGGCCGTGCCGGGGCTGTGCCAAGACCGTTCCCTTCGGGGACTCACCGACTCCTGTCGGAGAAACTAGCCGTGGCCGCAAGGGCCCGTTGGCTGCCCCGCGGCGCTGCCAGTGCGGCTAGTGCTGGCAGCGCGCTGATGAGGCCTGGGGGCAAGCCTGGGGGCCTTGGGGGGCTGCGACGGGACGGGCTGCGAGATGGTTTGGCAAACACGGCCTGCCCGGCCTGCCCCGAGGTCGTCCGTCCAACGACGCCGAGTCCCCCGAGGCCGTGGACCGCCGTGGACGGCCCGAACGCGCGGGGCGGGGCGCCCCGCAAGTCCGCAGGGCCCTGGAGGGTAGGCAACAGGTGGGGCAGGCAGTGACACCCTGGACGAGGCGACGGGGCGGCGGGGCGGCGGGCGGAGGCAGGGGCAGGAGGCCGCGTGTTGAGAAAACGACAAAAAAAAGGACTCCTTTGTCGGGAGTTGAACCCGCGCCAGGAAGCGGTCAGGGTGCGCATTATCATGGTGGAGACCGTTTGAGCCACCGCAGCGCTACGCGGCGCATGCTCTGCGAGGCGTGCGCGGTGCCCTGGCGGTGCCCTGGCGGTGCCCGGGTTCGAATCCCGGCCGCGGCTCACCTTTTTTGGACGTCCGGAACGAATCGTCGCGCGGCACGTGCTGGATGTCGTAGACCAGGGTGCTCCTGGGGAAGACCTTGTCCTTGTTGAGCCTGTACACGGCGTACTTGAAGGCCAGCTCGGCGGCGCTGTCCTTTTGGTCCTCGGTGAAGATGGCGCCTGGAACACGCGGGGAAGAACAACATGAATACACAGCGGAAAAAAAAATGCTGGAGACATTGAAAGAAAGGAGGGGAGACTTATTGCACTGGGCGCGCTACTAAATGCATCAACTTCGGGGGCATCAGTAATTCCGTCGACCCTTGCTTGCGTTCCGCAGCATGTCCCACCAACCCATATGTATGTTTCACCCAGCTGCCGCAGCACAAGCCAGTTCCGCGGCCAAAAAATAAAAGTTAAAAAAAAGTTACCAAAAAAAAAGGAAGAGGGACTCGGGGTCCGGAGAGTGACTCTGTATTCATATGTATGGAAATAGAATGGCCGGGATGACTCCGGGGCCTTTTGTTGGCCGTGCCATAGCTCATTGGACGCCACGCCGTGCCTGCCTGCCCTGCTTGCCCTGCCGCCGCACAGTGGGCCAGAAGACCGGTGGAGGCGGCCAAAACCCTAGACGCGTTTTGAGCTCCAGAGTCGCGAAACAGGACTCGAACCGACGTGTGACCCCACCAATGGATTCCTCGTTCGGAGAGCAATCGATTGGTGGGGTCACACGTTCGGTTCGAGTCCTGTTTACCGACTCTGGAGCTCAAAACGCGTCTAGAGTTTTGTCCGCCTCCGCCGGTCTTCTGGCCCACTGCGCGGCGTGGCCGCGGGGCTGGCTGCTGGCTGGCGGGCCCTGGCGGGGCCGGTGCCGCCCGTCGCCACGCTGGCTCCAAAGCCGCTTCCCATGCCGTACCACTGTACCCTGCACAAGCCCTTCGTTTTTTTGCGTCGCCACTTTTAGCGCTCAAATGTTCGTGTCACGCCGACAAGCGTCATCTATCAGCTCTGCGTCTGTGTGTGTGTGTGTGCGTGCGTGCGCGTGCGTGCGTGTGTGTGTGTGTGTGTGTGTGTGTGTGCATGAGCGGCTCGGGTTTAGCGCTTTATACTCCCACTGGATCGGTCGGGCGTCGCTTGCGAGTATGCGGTTAGTCGAAAACCGCCATGCTCACAGTGCACGGCGAAAAAAAGCAGGAGCAGAAAAGTTCGGAGTTTCACACTACTAAGGTTGGCGCCCGCGGAGTCCAGGGTAGGCAACCAGGCTGCAGTAGCGACGGCGTGGTGCCTACCGCCCACTACCATTACCATTAAGGGCTAGACCACACATGATCGTCTGCGCTCCCGGCCCGCCTGGCTCGCCACCTCGGTGCCTCAAAAACCAAAACAAAAAAAAAAAAACGAAAAAAAAAACGTGTCGGCCGTTTGCTGCAACCTGCGGCAGCGTCGCCGATGCGAGTCCTTGCTAAGTTTGGCAAGAGCGCCCCGCCCCGCCCCGCCCCGCCCCGCCTTGCCCCGCCCCGCCCGGTGAGGAGGCCTTTCTGCTCTTTGTGGCGTCCCTGCTGTCATGTCAGCGTGCCCGCCCAGGGCCGTTCTAGGGCCGGTCTAGGCCCGGCCGGCCCAGCGCACCTGTGACTTTGGCAATATCGCCGCTTTTGAGGCCGGGCGCTCTGCGCACCGACGACACCCTGTCAAAAGAGGAAAAGAGGGGGAAAAAGAAGTTTATCAGAAGGAGAGAAAAAAATCTCATTCAACGAACGTTAATGAAAGCAGATGATCCGTCGCGCTTCACAACTGCTGTGATAGCCGAGAGGTTAGAGACGTGGGATCGAGTTACCGCAGGCGGGCGTTCGAATACCAGCGTCACATACGTTTTTTCGACTTACTATCCTAAGGGTGGTGGTTCGAGGCCATCCGAGCGGAGCCGTGTGCAACAGACGCAAATGCCGGAGGTTCGACTCCTAACAAATATTTCCATTTAATTTTACTGCCTCACCCAGTGCGGTTGAAACCCGTGAACGAGCCCACACTGTGCATGGGACGTGGTGGTCCAGGGAGTAGAGGCGTCGGTTCCCAATGCTAGGGTCGGCGGTTCGACTCCCCCAACTTCTTGCGAAATTTTGACCGGGTCGGTCGAGTCCTGTTGCGTCAAGAACCCACCTCACGCCTTTCCCCTCATCATGGGCCGTGGTGGCCGAGAGCGTAAAGTCGTGTGATCCCGATGGCGGGGTCCGGGGATCGAATCCCATCATTCCATTACATTTTTCGACCGCCTTCCTCCCAGTGCAACTCAAACCCGTCGTCCAACACGCTGCCAGACGTACAAGCGTGATAGCGTAGTGGTCAGAGTCACATTCACCTGGCCACTCCGCTGTGGGTGTCTAAAAAGCAATCCGCTTCGGCGGGTTAGCCTCGGCACTGGAGCGATGGAGTATTTGATCCATCAATCCAGACCATCCGGTGTGTGGTTGCGGGTGGTGCCTCCTTGACTCGTCGGGGAGGCGATGATAAGTCCTTTGAAGCTGGCCTAAAACGCTGTATGTTCGGTACGGGAGCGCCGGACAGTGGGGGTACCATGGGGTACACAACCAACCCTACGAAAACAAGAAGCTCCCACCAAACCTCTTCTCTGTCTGAGTCTCTCTCTGTCTCTCTGTCGTCTCACTCTACGTCCCGCCCCTCTAAGAGCTTCGTACTGGGTGCTCCCACCCAGCTGCCTGAGCTTTGGGGTCCTACTGGGTCCCCCGGCGAACGCTTAGGGTCGCTGACGGGATTAACCCCAGGTACCTGATAGCACCGGTTCCCATCCCGAACACCGAAGTAAAGCAGGAGGCCTCCCCATTAAGACTGGGGAGGGGGTGTAGAGTTCAAATGTTTTTCTTTTCCCTTTCAAATTTCTCAGTCAATACTCGTTCAGTTTCCTTATACGGGGTAGTATGCGGGCTCATTCCAAAGATAGTAATTAAAATTGTGTATGAAACAAAATATATAGACCCGAGCGAGGTGGCCGGTGTTGGTACTTTGGTACTAGCCGTGCCGAGCTGTGTCCTGCACCGCCCGCCGCCGAGCCCGAGCTGGCCCGAGTGCCCCGGGCCGGGCCGAATCGGGAGGCATTGTTGCGCGATATTCCGCGCCGTGGCAGGCGGGGAGGGATTGTCAATGTTGCGCGCAGGCCGTGGCAGGCCGTCACGAGCGAGGAGGGGGTGCCATTGTTGACGCCCGGTGCCGCTGGCGCTGTACCGAGGAGGGATTGTCGAATCCCGCGCAGGCTGCGCCTCATTGCCAGCCAGCCACACGCACCAGCCCGCCCCGGCAGCCAGCCCCTATTATATTGTTTAGGATACGCGCTTCGTTTCTGGACTCGAGAGTAAAAGCACGCTGACACCTTCATGTGTATAGTAGTTTTAAGTATGTTTCAAGTGTGAAGGTATCATCTGCTAAAAAAAACACTTCGTAATTTTGAAAGCAAAATGTTTTTCTGGACGGTTGGAAGCAAAACAGCTCACGCAACGCAAAAGCGCACTTCCGGTTCCCGAGAACGTCGTTTCTAAAGAAATACGTGTCCCATCCGTGGGTTATTTCGACTGGAGGCGGAATAAACTATGAGACTTCGACAACGTGTTTGGGACAGGCCACACTGCTCCCTCAGTGGGGCAATAAGCCTGCGGGGCAGCCCAGGGGCAGCCCCCGGCCAGAGCGACTTGGGCTTCGCTTCCACGCCGCTGCTGGCCTATATGAGGCATCTTTCGGAGGATTAGGGGGGGGGTGTATTGGCGGCGACACCGCAGGCACGACGGTGCACCCAGGCGTGCAAACGTCGTGCAGTAATGAAATTTAAGGGCCGAAAGGCCTCCCCCCAAAAAAAGAAGAAGAAGAAGAAGAAAAGAAAAACCAAAACGGAATGAAAAAAATAAATGACGTAATAATTGAAATGATGGAGATCGGCGCGAATACCTTCCGGGTATTCCATTCATGCCTTTTCGAGTGCCGGGAGAAAGGGACGGTCCTTGGCCTTTTATCTTTCTGACGGACTCATATTGCCTCTCGCCGGATTTGTCACCCCTTCCCCCCTCCCCCTCGCCGGTTCCTTCGATTATGTATTGGAATTTGGGGATGAGACGATGGGCCAGAGGCCGTGCCGCCGCGCTGGGCGTAACGCCAAATCAGGAATTCTCGAATGCGGCGCGGAGCCATTTGGGGGGGTCCGCTAGGGTGTCAACTCATATCAGCCGGGGAAACACCCCCCTCCCCTTCCCCGCGCGAGGCGCCCTCTGCATATAAATAACCGCACTAAACGGGCCGTAAAATGCGGGTAAACACCGAGAGAAGGCCTTAGCTGTGAATTGGCGCCCGTCGACATGTGTGTTTGGTGCGATTGTTGTTTTTTTTTTTATCATGCGCGTTGTAACAGCAACTGGAATACAAGAATCGGCTTTCAGCTTGCCGTCCGGCGGGGCGCTCCGTCTCTCTCGCACTCACGGGGGCGTCGCCCTGGCCTCGCCGTGTCCCGCGGGGGTGCGAGAGAGACGGAGCAGCGCTGTGGAGCCAGGCAGGCAGAGCCGGGCAGAGCGAGAGCGCCGTGCTGATGGCGCCATCACGTCGTCAAAGACCGGCGGACGAAGACAAGACGAAGACAAGGCGGCGGCTTGGTCAATTTGCCAGGCAAACCCTTTCAAACACACAGGTCTCCGATTGCGCGGGAGCGGGGGGTCGTTCGTCGTCCCTCCGTCTCTCTCACTCTCACCGTCGTCGGTCGTCCCGCCTCTCTCTCTCTCTCTCTCGCTCTCTCTCTGCAAGGCGTCCCTCGCCGAGAAAAGGTGAACAGGAATTATGGGATGCTAATGAATTCATGGCTTGGGCTGGCACCGCCGCCACTGCCAGCGCGCGGCTCCTCGACCCCCCCCCCCCTCTCTCTCTCTCTCTCTCTCTCTCTCGCATTCCTTCGTCTCCGCACTTCATTTCCCACTTGACTCTCTTCTTCCCGGCGACGCTCGCGCAGAATTCATCATTATTTCCCGGAAACGCGCCGCGGAACGCGAACAGCAAGGCGTTGTATAATCCTGACGCGGCGCGGCCGAGTGCGTGCCCGCGACGCCGGCAGACTCATTCCGAGAGTCGTTTTCGTCGCTCTGTCTCTCTCGCACCCGTCCGGCACGCCCCGTGAGTGCGACAGGGACAGAGCG